AAAAAAAAAAAAAAAAAAAAAAAAACACACACACACACACACACACACACACACACCTAAGCGGAAGTGGAATGCCAAAAGGCTTGATCCAGAGGCATTGAAAGCTTCACTTGCACGAAGCTGGTCTATTCTTCAGAACAACCCGACTCCGAATACGTGCAGCGAGACGGAAAAGGCAGTGCTAAATACGATGAAAGAAATTGCTGCCGCATGTGACGCCTCTATGTCGCGGCTGAAAAATCAGAGTTTCCACAGGCCGGCGTACTGGTGATCAGCAGACATAGCAGAACTCCGGAAAAAATGCCACAAACTACGTTGGCTAGCAACGAGAGCTGCGAAACGCTCCCCTAATCAAGATCTACTTCTGAGCGAGTATAAGGAGGCCAAAAAGAACCTCAACCGGGCAATCAAAGTGAGCAAAGCGAAATTGTGGCAAGAGATCTCTAACGACCTTGATAAAGACATCTGGGGTAAAGCCTACCAAATTGTCACCAAACGGCTTGGAAAGGCTTCACCAGAAGCGCCGAAATCACCTGATTTAATGAGCAGCATCGTAGCGGAGCTGTTCCCCATACACCAATCAAGAGAAAGAAGATATTATGTGAAAAACAGTGTAACACTTTTCACAACCAAGGAGTTACAGGATGCAGCGAAGACACTCAAGACAGAAAAGGCACCCGGCCCTGATGGCATCCCAGCATCGGTGATCAAGACTGTAGCCCTGGAATATCCAGACATACTCCTGAACACCTACAACGCATGCTTGGCAACTGGCACGTTTCCCGCGGTCTGGAAGTGGCAGAGATTGTTTCTGCTAGATAAAGGCAAAGGTGGCCCTGTAACACCCTCGTCGTTCAGACCACTTTGCATGCTGGACATTGCAGGGAAATTGCTCAAAAAGCTTATACAGGGAAGATTACGAAACGATATCGATCGTGCTGGAGGTTTTGCCACAAACCAACATGGTTTCCGGAAAGGACGTTCAACAGTCGGCGCGATCCAGAAAGTCGTAGGGACAGCGAGAGAAGCATGGACTGGTAGCCTTAAAGCTCGTAAAGTATGCATTCTCCTCACGCTAGATGTCAAAAACGCATTTAACAGCGCGAATTGGGGAGATATCCTAGACGCTCTGGAACACAAATTTGACGCAAAGCCAGAGAATCTGGCACTAATTGACAACTACCTTGAAGGAAGAAAGCTAATAGCGCAAACTACAGAAGGACCACATGAATACGCCATAACGGCTGGCGTGCCGCAAGGCTCAATAATGGGGCCTGATTTATGGAACGCGGACTATGACGAGCTTCTTAAGATTCCGTTACCAAAGCAAGTAGAGCTAATGGGCTTTGCAGACGACGTCGCGGCCACAATAATAGTAGACAGCGTAGAAAAGGCCAAACTACTAGTTCGGGAAACCATTGATGCCGTCGAGACTTGGCTCGATAAACACCACCTGAAACTTGCCAAGCAAAAAACCGAGATGGTCGTTCTGACTCGTCAAAAATGGTTCCCAAAACCATTTGCGGTGGACATGGGAGGAACAACACTAACGTCAACAAGGGCCCTGCGCTATCTGGGGGTAATGATAAACGAGAAACTATCTTTTCGCGAACACCTCGATAATGCATGCCAGAAAGCCAACAAGACGGTGTCTAGCCTAGCAAGAATTATGACCAACACCATGGGACCAAGAACAAAAAAGAGAAGAGTTCTTCTAGAAGCAGTCTACTCAGTACTGCTTTATGGAGCGGAGATATGGGCAGACATATTGAAGCAGAAAACCTATCGGCGAAAGATAGCAGCAGTACAGCGGCGAGGCGCTCTCAGGGTTACCTGCGACAAGCGCACAGTTTCCGAAGCGGCTGTATTGGTCATTGCAGGAGCTACGCCCATCGACCTATTAGCGTTCGAGAGAGCTAAACTTTATGACGCTATAGATAGTGACGAAAACATGAAGGACGCAAGAACGAGGATAAAGGCGGAAACGCAGCAAGAGTGGCAGGGCTGATGGACATCGGGAGAGACGGGCAGATGGACAGCGCGCCTGATCCCAAACATCAACGTCTGGCTTTCTCGAAAGCACGGAGACACGGACTTCTTTCTGACCCAGCTATTGACGGGATATGGGCAGTTCAATGCCTATCTTTTCAAGATGAGATTGCACAGCACACCAACGTGCAAATACTGCCCAGACAAAATTGACAACGCCGAGCACACGTTTTTCGAGTGTGATCGGTGGAAGGACGATAGAATCAGCACCGAACAAACAATAGGCATCACGCTCTCCCCTGAGAGCTTGGTAACTTGCATGATCAAACAAGAAGAAAACTGGTCAGCTGTTGCAGCCTACGCGCAGCGCCTTTTAAAAGAAAAAATCGCAGAAAGGGATTAAAAACCAGTAGAAACAAGAAGTAGGTGTCATAAGACACAACATGGACTGGATTGAAGTAATGCTAACGCGGTCGGCGCGGTCCCGTTCCAGTCTTCCCTGTGAAAGCAAAAAAAAAAAACACACACACACACACATGGAAAAAAAAATTTTTTTTGTTTCAAAACCTCGTATCTGCAAAAAAATTATCAGGGTATTTGATGAGAAAACTCGTATCTACATGAAGTTGACAATACAACAAGGTATCGATGCAGACAGCAAAAATCATGTTTAATTTCTTTAAGGTGATAAATGAAGAGTATAAATTTCAAATTAGTTATAAATTTTTATTAAAATTAAGTAACTCTAAACATTTTTATCGAATTACCGAAAATTACGATTTTGTAGATACGAGGTTTACACAGAAACGGGACGATATGATCTTTTTTGTAAGAGACTAACAAAAAATGTAAAACTGTGATGTGATGAGGATAATCTTCCTATCAATATTATGAGCTCAAATTTGGGGAGCATTTTTTAGAGAGGCGCCTGAGAACCAACTTTTCAATGTTGGAATTTAAAACAAATATTCGATTTTTTTTAATCGCCTTAATACATAGTTATAATAATTGTTTTCCTGGGTACCTCAAATCATCTTAAGGAAATCCTTTCGCTCCAGTTGAGTCAAAACAATTGTAGTAGTCAATATACGATAAATTAAAATAAAAAACCCATAAAAATTCCTAAAATTAAATAATAAATAGTATATGAGGCATTAATCGTTGAAATTTTGAAAAAAAAAAAAAAAAA